AGAAAGAGAAACAAAAGAAGCCTACACTTTTGAGAATCGCATATTAATATTTCGTAATAATAAAAGGGCTATTGAAACCTGTTAATACAGAACCGTTTTAACTGATTTACAACTCTAAATGTGTAATTTCTGAGAGAAATAATCTGAATAAATTTTTTAATCTCATATGTTGAAGAACTTTAGTTCTTCAACATATGAGATTAAAAATTAAAATTTAATTAAATAATTAATTTAATTAATTTTATTAAAATTTAAAAATATTTTCAAATTTTTTTAGCATATGAAATTACATAAATAGGAAACAGATAAGTTATTTTTCTCCCTTAAAATTTTTTTAGTATGTTTTAACATTTTCAGATGTATAAAACTATATTTAAAAAAAATATCGAACCAATTTACATTAATGTTTGAAAGTATTATACACAAAAAAAACAACTAGATGGCGCCATCAATATAAAATAAGATTTTTTTTCTCACAAACTTCCGTTATTTCTTTTCAATTTCTCACTAATTGATAAAATAGTTTCATTTTATTTAATTATTTAAATTTTTTTTAACTTTCTCTAAAAGTAGCTGACGGATTTTTCTGTGTAAAGAGATTCACTTATTTAAATAGCTACCATCTATATTATTTATTTGTTTATTTAATTATTTTTTGAGGATTACCACCATTTAAAATAAAAAGTAAAATAAATAAATAAAAAAAAGATGGTTTCTAGTTTGAACTTCCGAAATCATGGATTCTAAAATAGTTTCAAGTATTTAAATTCAAATTATTGATTTTATTGCAACATCACAGTCTTCTAAGCGACACCAATTTCTTAACATATGCCAGCAGGGCCGTTTTATCCATTAGGCACTGTAGGCAACTGCCTAGGGGCCCCGCCACGTTCAGGGGCCCTGTGCTACAGAGAAAAAAATTGACAATGTTTCTTAAACAGTAAAAATTTAATTCGAAATTTCAATGACGATTGTCTTGCTCTGTACATTACATCGACGCTCCTTTAGTACATTTCTGAACGCATTCCAAATTAGATATTAATATTATGATAGTTAGTTCATATATAACGCAGTAATATAATCGCAAGCAATTTTATCGCGGTAATTTTAACGCCGACTAATCAGATGACTATACAGCAAGAGCAGCTTTTTTAACACAACACGCTTGAAAAACGCGCAAAATTCTACGTTGTGAATGCACACTTACTGTTCTGGTACCTACCATAGGTATGTATATTCTATGGCCAAGCTACCAAAGAGTATGTAAAAATAAGGTTGGCAGTACTGGTTCGTTCGTCGCATGACTGGGGAATTCCCCGATCCGCTAAATACATACGTTGTATTGTGTCATAGACAACATTTTTGAAACATTTTTAATGTAATCGTTGAATTTTCACTTCGTGCAATTGAATTTTCACTTCGGCTGAACGTTTCCTTAAATTTCTTCTCATACAGAACCACAAAGGGGAAGAACTAGCCACCGAGAATTGAAATTAATTAAAAACTGTCTTCGTTCAACTATGTCTCAAAACCGTTTAAATTCATTGGCCATAATGGCAATTGAAAATGATGTATTGGAAAAGGTTAACTTTCAGGATGTCTTGAACGATTTTGTAACAAAAAAAGTTAGAAGAGTTAATATTTAAGCTTATTGTATGATTTTTTTAAAATGCATATATTAATTACTTATATTCTTTTCGGTTGATTCAATATTTTTATTGAATAATGTGATAATATACTATATATAATATACTGTGATATATAATAATTAGGAAGTTAGAAGACGGTAGGGGAGGGGGCCCGAGACGAGCATTGCCTAGGGGCCGCGACATGCATAAGCCGGCCCTGTATGCCAGATTAACGTTAAAATATAAAAAGAAATTTTTGAATATTCGAAACTATTCAGAAGTATAATAGCGAAGTAGCAGCGCCGGATTCCCCATTAGGCCATGGCCTAGGGCCCCCAATGATTAGGGACTCCTTTAAAAAGGATTTTTTGATAATAAATTTTAAAAAGTTAAGGAAAAAAAAAATTTTTTTTTTTAAATCAATTTTAAATATATATTCAAATTTTTTCAAAATGTTATGATTATTTTTTTTGTTCTAATTTAACAAAATAAATCAAAATTATTATTTTTTCTTTTTAAATATGCTTTCTTAAATGAAAAGATATGTAAATACTTCTATAATTGAATAAATTAAAAATATAAGCGAAAAATAACTTAATCGAAGGGCCCCAAAAATTTGAGTGGCCTAGGGCCCAGAGTACGCTTTATCCGGCCCTGCGAACTAGCAATGGACAGTTAAAAATGAATATTGAAAAACCAAATCATTATATCAGATTAGGTAGAATAATTCAGCTTTTAAAAATATATTCGAATGACACAATAGGGAAATATTGAAATATTTCGATTTACTTATAGCAATTTTAAAATACTTTCTTAATGAAAATAATGTACTATATTTTAGATTTTATTTTAACACATTATCCTATTTCTTCCTCTTTTGAGCATATAAACAGTAGTAATATAATGATTTTTTTTATTGATTTTTTTTATGATCGTCGTAGGGCAGAAGGGAATAATGATTAATGTCCCCTACAATAATTAGAAATTTCTAAAAATTTCGTAATTGAAAAATCATCACCGATTTAAATTTATTTAATTTAAAAACAAGTTAATAAATTAATAATAATAAATCATTTCGCATAAAAATTTGGCAGAGTGAAGAAACGTAAATCCTTTTGATTTTTTAAATGACATTTAACGGACTGAAGTACTATTTCAAACTTATCCCCCTCTCGAAAAAAAAAATTGTCGACATTCACCAGTGGAAGNAAAAAAAAAAAAAAAAAAAAAAAAAAAAAAAAAAAAAAAAAAAAAAAAAAAAAATCAGTCTTGCTCCTAAATAACCAACACACACACACACAATAAGTGGAACCATTACTACGATTGGTTTTAAGACGATTACTACAACTGAATATTGGAAAACAAATTTGTGCATTAAGCACTGAAACATGTGAACTGTGTGTTTAAATAAAACACATTAGACAAATATTTTAAAGTACAATTAACCAAATGCAGTTGCAATGAATATTATAACTTGGTGTAATGCAATAAATGCACCCTGATCATCTAATGTAAATACATTTTCTTTAAATATAATATATATTTTTCAATTGAACCCTAAAATTTAAAGCTTGCTTTGCTTCAATTTATATTTAAATATTTCTTAAATTGTAAGTTTCCGATAATTCGAGGTAGACTCCGTCCCATCCACCTCGAATTATCGAATTAATTGACAAATACAGTATATTTGTTGCGTTTATTTAAGGTTCTAATGGTCATTAAAAAAAGAGAGAGATCTTTTTCAAGATTAAAGCAATTCCTACTTCGAGCTACTCCGTCATTTTATTTCGCTGAAACAACATCTGTTCTTCAAACTTCAGGTTTATAAGCCGTCCATATACGTTATTTTTACCAAATGTCTGAACACTGGTTATAATTTTGTAATGTGTGAATATTTTTTTTACAAATTATAATTTTATCAAAAATATATCCACCAATAAAAGTTACGTTTAAAGTTAAATGGCATATACTGTCGTACAATAAGCAACAAAAAACGAAGTAGCCTTTAGCATTAAAGCTCATTCGTAGGTCACAGCCAGAGTAACTTTTCCACAATGTAGACTTTGGCCGAAGTAGCCTCGAAACATAAATTTTGTTTGTGCTCAGTAAAGAATAATTATATTTTTGTCTGATAAAACGCTATAATTGTAACATTACAGATCACATATTACCGTCGTTGAACAGCCGACCCAATTTTAAGAGTTTACGACTACTAATGCTCAACTCCGTAGCCTTGTAATTTTGAACCCAATTCAGAAGACAAGGGAACTCCTAGATGCATTGGGAGAAATTTTGCCTTCGTGGTGAACTGGAGCTAACCCGCATTTGCGTTACATTGAGAGGAAGACCACGAGAAACATCCACGGTTAGCCTGACGTCAAGGGGAATCTAACCCATGATCCGTCTACCACTGAGGATATTTCTCGTCAGCACTGTGGTCGGTGCAAATCAGATGCAGAATTCGTATCGACTGGGATCCGAACCCGGTTCGCCTCATTGGAAGGCGAACGCTCTATCCCATGAGCCATCGCGGCTCATTACAGAACATAGTACTTTTAAAACTCCTTGGATAGCTACTTTTTCATAATTAATAATTTGGTAAAACTAGTCTAGAAAACATAAGGTTTTGGTATTCATATGCATGGGCTTGGTTACGCCTTGTAATTATAAACAAAGGATTTTTTATTTAAACTAAAGCAGAACAACAACTTATTGTGGCATTATTCTATTGCATATTTATTAGTACTATTTTCACACTTACTTTTCTAGTTCCAATTGTACAGTTAAGAATTTTATATCATTAAAGACTGTATTTCCATCTCCCCTACGCAACCACTACACCCACATACAAATTCTCCATATCAGAAGAAATCTTTTATTTAAAATTTCAGTGGTTTTTAAAAATAAAGAACTTCCACTTCCACCAAATACTTTGGTCAGAAAAAAGTGTATATTTTTCTTAATGTTAAGTCAAAATCGATATTCATAATTTAATTGTTCTTTCAATTCTGTTAGATTACTCATTCTATGTGCTTCAATTGCTCATTCAATGTTCTTCAATTGCTCATGCAATGTATTCAATTACTCAATCAATGTTTTTCAATTACTCATTCAAGTTGTTCGATTTTCACTATATCATTATTTTAATAAGAAAAGTTTGGTTTATGTCTGAACATTCCTTATGAACCAAAAAAAGCTCTTGTTTTATTTATTATTATTTAATTCTAATACTGTGATACCTATACCATTTTTATAATATTCGGAGCTTCTAAAATTTGTTTTGAATACTTTAAAACACTTATATATGTTTAATAAAATGACTTGAATCATATAAAATGTGTAGGATAAGAGCAATAAAACAATGAACTTAAATAATTTACTTTTCTTTTATTCACAAAATCAACAGGCAGCATAATGCAAAAGCATAAATGTAACATATATACGGATAATGAAGATTTACAAAAATTTCAATATGTATTATGATATTTCATAAAACCTCAGCCGATGGTGTTAAAATTTTTTTTGCAAAAAATGCTTTAAAATAATAATAATAATACAATAATTTTATCAACAATTTAGAATAAATTTACAGAACAAAAATTAAATATTCATATGTTTGTCATAGTTTGCCTATGACGTAGATTGAAAAGCATCTTATAATATCAATAATATTATTTTATATCAAAGATATTAAACTAGCTATTTGAAGAATATCATACGTCCTAATCAGTTCTAGAAAGTAAAATGCTTTTTTTGTTATTTATCAAAATCTATTCGTTTCCCTTTAAGCGCATTGTCCCAAAAGATATGCAATTTTAACAAGAATCTATAAACTCTCTAAGGAGACGAAAGAATATCTTTCAAGCATTAAAAATTTCAAATATATTTACGTATGTTAATATTTTTAACTGTGTTTTATACACTTCTTATCATTTTAAAACTAAAAATTAGAGAATACGCATTATTTTTCAGAATCCTATAATTACATTTTTCTGGAGCTATTCTTTGCTTATTTATTTTAAATAAGCTAAAAACAGATTAAAACTAATTGAAACGAATTTAAGCAAAAATGCATTTCTTTGACCCTCAACCATGAAATCATTAGGAACACACCGCTTTCAAAATTAATTATCATAATCATATAAATTATCATATTTTATATAAAATTGAATTATCATTAGGAAACAAAACGGCTTAAAGAAAGAAAAAAAACTTTTAGTTGGGTAAAAAATTAATCGATGTTTCATAAAAAATATTTATTTTAAAATAAAACTATTTTTGTTTCCGTTTCCCTGTAGCTATTAAAAATAGCATCGATATGTTAAATAACAAGTAGGCCTTTTAAAGTTCTAGAACTGATTCAAACTATTTTTGCGAAATTTATACAAATGAAAGACAACTTAATTTTAAATGAATCATTTAGTAATTTAATTTGCATCTTAATAATAGTACTCACGTTTAGAGTCAATGAAGTAAATGATTAAATATTTATATAACATTATTAACTGGATATATGCCCAGTGAAATGTTATAATCGTCATAGTTATTTAAACTTATGATATAAAATTTAAAAAAGAAATCAACTTAAGCACGCATTCTTTTTATGTCAGAAAATTTTCACGGGAATAATAACCGGATACATTCTGTCAAATTGTATATTTTGAATAGGAAATTTTTCTACTGATCATTCAGAATTGTACAAGAGAAGAAAAAAAAAACAGAAAAAATAAAAATCTTATTCATGACTTGGCGACTAACCTCAGAAAAATGAAAGTAAAATTCTGAAAGATAGTTGCGGGGCATTTTTACATAAAGAAAATAAGAATGACGAAAAAAAATATAATATCTTTTGTGAATTAGATTGTTATTTTTAAAAGAAACATTTTTTCAGAAGAAAAAGATTTTATAACATTAAGCTTTTCGATTCTCTTAACTCAGAAATTACATGTGTGAAACTTTTAAAATAAATCAGATTTTGAATGAAATAATAATGAAAAACCTATGAATAAAAATGAAAAACCTATGCATTCCGGACAAAACTCTAAAAACTCTTTTATATCTTTACTCTATCAACTTAACAATTTACTTAGTTACTGAACCATAAAAAGAAATAAGAAATGTACATAATTGCTCCCTTTTTAGCGGCAAAAAGCAACAATAAATATATTTACATGAATAGAGAGCTTTCTGACACTTCAATAATGTTTCGAATTTTAGCTGTACCTAAAATTTTACTTTCATCAGAAAGTTATCATACTAAAACCTAAACATCTTCAAAATCTTTCCTTATCGGAGACTACACAGAGAAAAATTCCGGATAAAATTGCAATAAAAAAGTACCTCCACTCAGGGGGACGGTACTTTTTACCGTGAAGTTCATTTTTAACAGAACATATTACGAAACAAAAAATGAATTTTACGGCAGTACTTTATACCTTAATTTGATCTGGATTTTTTTCCCAACAGGACTAGCAGAAAGTTCTAACAATGCTAATTAAAGCATGTTAACATGAATTTTATAAATTGCAAAGTAAATAGAAAAAAGATGACCATGTAAATACCATCGTTTTTAAGTTGATATATTTCTGCTTATTACTCCTTCCTGCAACAGATGACAAATAACTTTAGGATTAGATGAATATTATATTCCACTAGATGAGAGTCTTAAAAGTTTAAACTTTTCCCACAAATCATAATTTGAATAATATAATTTAATAAAAATATTTTAAGAACTGACAATTGTTAACTTTTTTTATCATGGCAATTAAATTGATTCATTTATTAATTTTAAAATACAAGGTTAGTTTTCATTTTTCTCAAAATATAGTTAATTTTTCGCAGAATTAGCGATAAACGTTTTCCTGAATAAGCATTTGCAACGTTACTATTTGTAGTAAGTTCTTCAGTAATTAAGAATACGAATAATAAGCTGTTATTAATCATTAAAACTAATTAAGATTAATCATTGAACTGTATAAAAAATTGATACGCACAACATGGTTTAAGCTTAAAGCGAAAGAAAAAACATGAGTTCTCTCAGAAATGGTATTTCAGATGCTTAAACTACGATAATAGCTTGAAAATAAGAACAATATTCCAGAAACACCATTTTCAAAGACAAACTAAAAATTTTAAGCAGCAAATAATCATAAAAAAGTAGAGGTTCTTAATTTAAAAAGTTAGGTACCTCTTTTCTCGGAAGTAAATTTTATAAGCATGTATATCAGATCTCTAATTAGTAACTAAGACCAATTTAAATGCATATTATAATTATTTCTACCATCTACTTTTTTTGCATGTCAGTCTGTCTGGGTTGGAGGCTTTTATCATGTCTGAAGCTTTCTCAGCGATCATAATGATGGGGGCATTCGTATTTCCAGACACTAATGTTGGCATGACAGATCCATCTACAACTCGAAGATTTTTAACTCCAATCACCCTGTTAAAACAAAGAGAATCATTTGTTAAACAAATTTTAAAAAATTAAAAAATTTATCTAAATCATTTTAAAACAAAATAAGAGTTTAAAAAATTAATAATTTGAAAATTAGATGCTAAAATGGCTTCTTTTTTTTTAATAAATTTTTATTGTAGTACTAGATTTTCCGAAAAGCTAACTTTCAAAATGATACGCTTATTAGATTAGCAAACAATGCAGAGTAAAATCTAAACGCTGTGCTTACAATATCAGGAAAAAAAATTATTAACGGTAAAAATTTAGTTGTAATATTCCTAATTTATCTGATGTATTTAATGCTTCTCAATTTTTAAATTATAAAATGTTTATTTGAGCTCAACCTATTTTTTTTTATACTTGACAAATAATATTTGATCTACAATATTTTATTGGATGCATATTGTGCATAACTTAATCTTTATCCCATTGTATATGATATATTGTAGTGTATATCATGTTTTAATGATATTTCATATAAATGTCTCTTTTATTTTCAACTTATCTTAAAATTATTATTATTATAGAAAAAAAATATTCTATAGTGATAAAAATTAGTTTTACTTACAATATTATGATAAAATGAAAGTGATTTATCATATATTCTATAATTAATAAAATTTATAATTAGTTAAAAATAGTTTTAATTAATTTTTTAAAAAAAGTTTAAAAACTAAAATCGAAATTTTAAAAATGAGAATTCACCCATAAGTCTTCAATGTATGAATATTAATGTGGTGTTTGTGTGTATTTAGAATATTGTATAATTTAAAAAATTTTTACCAGTGTTCATTTCATAATAGTATTTTTAAACATTAATTTTCAGAAAACCTTCAAAATTTTTATTGTAATTAAACATCTTCCTTTTAAAGGTACTATTTAGTAATTGGAAGATTGTTTATAGTATCAAAGTTCTGAAAATCTTAGATTAGTTAAAAATGGTATATTATCACCTTTAAAGATTTTGATTTGCAAATATTCTACTATTTTCATATATCTTAGTTTTTACATTTCACTTACTTTAACTCTGGATCTACAACTGCAGTTTTGTCTGTTCTTCGTCCCATCTTACAGGTGCCAACAGGGTGATACAAGGTGTAGGTATACATTCTTCCAACGCATCTCAAGTAATCTTCTGAATAAAGTTTGTGTTTTTCACAGCCTGGAAACTTTGTTTTGAACATTTTGGCGCCGATCTCTTTGAAAGCTTTTGTCTTCTCAACGATGTTCACGCATTCTTTCATAACTAAAATAATAACAGCGACAAATGATTACCATAATATTTCGTTAATCATTTCTTACCTTAACTTACATCTCCTAAATATGAGAATTTTTTTATAAATGCCTTTAGTATGATTTCAGAGTATTTCAGAAGTATTAATTAAACATTACATTATTAGTTATAATTTAATAGTATGTAAGTTAAATAATTTAATAATTAAAAATAAATATTAAGTTTTAATAATTTATTATTAAATTATTAATTAATTTATTGATTTATAATTTTATAATTCTTATGTGTCTCAAATGAAGTAAAAAAATAAAAAGAAATAAATAAGAAATAAATTCCTTCTTTAATGACATACGAAAAACTATACAAATTAATCTTATTCAAAAATATGGATAGCCAAGTAATAATAACTAAGATGTTTTTTGTGAAAAAAAAAGTTAACTTTTGAAGTGGATTTACCTTCAACCAATCTGTCAAGATCTTCGTCATATTGAAAAAGATTTGGATCAATGAGGGGGTGTTCCTTGGGATTGGTGGAAGCAAGTCTGATTGTTCCTCTGCTCTTCGGCCTTAGGTAACATGGAAAAAACGTGAAAGTATTCTTTCCCGTGTATGGAGCATATACTTGTCTGTACACCTAAAAATGTATTAAAATATTTAAATAAAAAAACTGACCAGAAATTTTTTTAAAAAAAACGCGTTATTTAAGTTTTATAAATAATACGAAAAAGGGTACTCTTTTTAGTATCTTTAGAAATGTATTCGTGTGGGTATTTGATCATTTCTATCAACTAACACATCGTATGAAAATGAAAAGAATATTTATAAAAAGTACGCTTTAAAAATTATGTTCTTAACCAGATAAATTACACTTTTTTTCTCTTAATTTAACAAAAACATTATTTTTTTTATATATACATTATTTCAAATTTAATTCAATGCAATTAAATCAAAATAAGATTACTAAAACATGTATTTTCTTTCTTTTTTTTTACATTTTCACAGGATTCAGTATAATTTATCTTAGCTTTCAAAGTTATTATGATTGAAGTAGCTTTATAAAATAGATCCACGAAGACTTCTAACAATATTTTTAAGAAACAATATTTTTAAAGAGTAATTTTTTTATAACGAAAATTTAAGCCATGTTTAAAAAATTAGTTTAAAATGCAACAATAAAATAAATATAATGAACTTACTTTATCTGTTATCCCGACTGCGCTTTTCAAGATTGTGCCATAATCACTAGCAGGAGAACCAGCAGCCAGGTGGATTTCTATATCGGGCCAGTCTATGGTTGGGTCATTGTACTTGGAGTTGATGTAGGCCATACCTTCAATTCCAGAAAAGCTGGTAAGAGGTCCTGGAATTGAAATAAATTGTACCATTTTAGAAGATCATTAAACTCTATTGCAAACATGGATATCTCAGTATAAGTCTTTAACAAAAAGTTTTCTACTAAGAAAAAACTATTTAATCTTTTGCTTACGGCTGGTAAAACTGATGATCCAGAATATCGGGTGCTATCAAGTGCCATAAGCAAAAGATTAATCAATGCAAATTTTAAGAGCAAATGATTGATACTAACCAGTTCCATACTTGTTAAATTCCCCAAGATTGAATGGGCTCAGTATTTTGCCAAGAAGGATAGGTTCTGCTTTAGTAGCCTCAAAGTTCAGAGATGTGGTTCCAACGTGATCTTGTAAGTTATCCCCCACAGGAAGATCGGCAATAACTTTAATCTGAAATCAGAAAAATTAATGTAATTTCGAACCTCCGTTCCATTCTCGAAATTTAAATTTATTAAAATATGTAAAAATTAATCTTACAATTAAATTTTTTACAATACCGTATACACTATCAAAATAATAATGATAATAAAAGTAATTTTAATAATCGTGATAATCTTTATCTAATAAAGAATGAATTATTATTTCATTCATTAAGATCAATCTGCATAATTGACAATTTCAATGTTTACCAAAAAAAGACCTTAATTTCCCAAAATATCTGAAAGATGAAGTATAAGGAGATGTAACAATGGCAAAAATTCAGATTGGTTAATGGCAAACATTTAGTAAACGAATATCGTTCGAATATCGTAATAAACGAAAATCGTTCAAAAAAAGTTATTATTTGGGTGCAGGTTCAAAAGACTCGAGGTACCCAAAAAGAAAACCCCTTGAGTTTAAAATTAGTGGCTCAAATTTAACATAGATGCAGAAATAAATTCTACACAATTGGTAAAACAAAAGTCTTTTACACTATCCAATTATAATCTTCCTACATTAAGAAATTTTTCCTGATCTTAAAAATACTTTTATAAAGGATAGTTTTAAGCTACTATTTTTAATATTGCCCTTCTTAAAATAAATTATTTAAAATAAATCGTCTGACGAAACACATATCTTTTTTTTTTTTACTTACTCCCAATTTGGTCAAGTGTTCCTTAGGTCCAATACCAGATAACATCAGAAGTTGGGGAGAATTGATAGTGCCACCACTAATAATCACTTCCTTCTTAGCTTTTACTGTGTAGATGTTTTTGTTGATTTCAAACTGCACACCATATGCTTCTTTCTTATCATTGATCAAAACCTGAAATCATAGAAAATATATTTAAGTAAACGTAGTCAGTCAATTTATGCCGTATTTAATTAGAAGAGTTAGTGGAAAAACACGTTAAGATTTGCTTAAGTGTATCTGAGAAACAATGTTTCGAATGCCTTAACAATGTTTAGAAACATCAAAAAGCTGGTTACAAAACATGTTTTCTCATTACTAAACGCTTTAACCTTTTAACTGTCATACCCGAAATTTTCTCGGGATATCTTTTTTTTTAATGCGTCGTATCTTTATACCCTAATATATGTCGGGAAAAATTTATTTCGGCTTCATCTCTTTATCAAACCCAAATCTATCACCGAGAAAAGTTGACTGAGATGCAATTTAGAACAATAGATGGCAGCACTTTACTGAAGGTTTCAAAGAATAAAGGTTTATTTAAAGTACGCGGCATTTTTATGTTGCAAAATGGCGTCCAGTTCTTTGAAACGTTATATAGATGATTTATTTCTTTAAAAAATAATTATATTATTTTTTTTAATTTTCGAAAAATAATGCTCCATTAGTAGTGAACTTTATCACTGCTACGCTGTGTGGCAACCGCCTCAATTGAATATGCAGTGACTGCGAAACCTTGAAATTTATATGCATGTAATTCAAAATATCAGTTTTTAACTACTAAGTATATTTTATTTTGTACTAAACAATTGTTTTTTGAAGAAAAAAAATGACAATTTATGTACCCAAATCATCCAAAACAACTTAAACAGTAAAACGTTTTAAAGATTGATTTAGAAAAATAACTTAACAAACATGCTGTTCCACTAATCTCTTCTCTTATTTATCAGGTTTTCTATTTACCTTAAGAACAAAAGCGTTTTCTATGATATCTAGATTTTTTCGACCAGAAGCTGGAATCAAGAAAGCCTTTGCCGTACTGCACCTTCTACCATTTCTGATTGTCCCTTGCAATTTTGAAAAACCTGTTAAAAATTGAGTAATTTAATAAGAAAATTATGGCACTTGGACATACATATTTAAAGCATGTGCAACACTATTGAAAAGCTTACCAGTTTGCTTTTCACTGTTGATGTCTCTGTACTCATAACCTCTTTCAGAAGCAGCTTTGGCAAATGCTGTCATCAAAGTGCTATTATACTGGGGACTTGACACAGTTAAATACCCATCGCTGCCATGAAGAGCTGTAGGTAAGAACATACTATTAATCAGGGGTAATTGTGACACAAAGTGAGAAACCCTGAAAACTTTATGCACAAAAAATAGATATCAATTTATATACCATACATGTTTCGTTTCAACCATAATTTATTTTTAAATAAAGTTTATAATTAAATTTTCTATCAATGATGAATATCACACCTTTAGTGTAACTAATTTAAGAAAAATCTTAGTTCTTACAAGAATTGCGATAATGGATTTTAAAATCACGTGAATACAAATCGCGATGTACGATTTTGGTAATTAGAGTTTATTTCAATTAAAGCTTTATAGACAATATTCAAAATAATAATTGTCTTAAATTATTAAGTAACAGATTTTCCGACTTAATTCACTATTTACAAATTTTTAGCATCAATTTTTTAAAAAATAAATGTTTTGCTTTTAAGCTGTTTCTTTCACAATGTTTTTCCGAGTACTTTATTAACTGCTAATACTTCTATATCGTTGTCGATAATTTTGCCTATCGAAAGGATAATTCTCATTAATTTAGAAGCAGAAAAGATAAAACACAGCTTTACTCAGTTTACTAACAATATAGAAGCAGCCAACGATGAATCTCGCAAAAAGAGTTCCACTTACTTGATTTTTGACAGATTTCCTTATCGGTGTTATTTTCAGACTTGATGAAGTAGGGTTTTACATCTTTCCATGACCATCCATCTGCTCCATCCTCTGCCCATTGGTCGTAATCCCTTTTATTTCCGCGAACATACATGAAGAAGTTTAGAAGACTAGATCCACCTATGCCTTTTCCCCTGGGCCATTGAAGTTGCTGAAATTTAATATGAAATACTTCATTTAAAAAATTTAGTATATCATCGAATTCAGTAATAATTGTCGAACATATTCAACTAAAAATAAAATAAGTACACACTTTGGGAAATTGAAAATACTAACAAATTATGAGTCCAATTACACTAAATAAAACAAAAGTAATTCCAGCTGAACTTGCTCCTAATTTTACTTTCAGATCTTTAAAAGAAAAGAAATTACTTTAATTTATTTATTTATATTTATTTATTTTCATTTTTTTCCTTGCAGATGCAAAGACTTACTCATTGAGTTTGTAACAAAATGCCTTGAGAACGCGGCAGTTTAGATGAAGTTAGCACTTTCATGACGAATTGAAATGTAAATAAAATGACTTTTTATTTAAAAAAAAAGCATTTTAAACTTACCCTGTTATCATAACCTAGAGCTCCCCTTTTTTGAGGCACTGTCTTATATTCCCAGTCATATTTCCCATGTTGCAAAAGAAATGCAGCTGCAGGAATCTCTGTGATTGCATCGGGATTGGGCCCAGCTTCCAAAAGAAGAACGGATACGCAGGGATCTTCCGAGAGACGAGAAGCAACTACTGACCCAGCAGATCCAGCACCAACTACATGAAAAGAAAAAAATAATAACAAATTTCATGACCATAAGAAATTTCATGGCCATAGATCCAAGACTCAAAGGTCATCAAATATGATTGATTTCAAATATAGAACACAATTTTTCTTTATTGTATACATAGTTGATATAGGAAATTTTATTCTGTTAGCTACCATTTTTATGAAATTATGGGCAAGTTTTGTTTTGTGAAGATGACTGAGTTATTTTGTGTCAAAATTTACTTACCTAAACACAGTTGAATTGAAAATTAAAACCATTATATAGTTATCATGTTTTGTTATAAAATGTTTTAATAATAATAAATATTTAAATTGCTTTAAAGGTGTGTTTATCTTATTTATTACGTTGGTGAATCAAAAACTGGAAACTGTTTTCTTTTTTCTATGTAAAGAAAGCAAAAATAAAAACAAAGCAATTTAATGCTTTTCAGTTAACTTTAATAAAACGATAAAAATAACTATAAAACCACAAAAACCTTATCAGGCATCACTTAATAAAGTGTGAAAAACAATTAAAACTCTTAGGAATCTTTGATATAATGCCCAATATCCTATAAATTTATTTTAATTTATTTTCTTCATTCCTTATTTTCTATGAGGACGGGGATTGCAAGACGAAAACATTTTTAATTATTTGAAAACAGCAGAAATAATCTCAGCAGTAAATAAAATACTTCGTCTAAATGTTTTTTTTTTAAAGGAAAAAAAAGAAGACTTCAAGAAACTAAATAAAATTTAGTGCATTGAACTTACATTTCATTTAAGTTTAAAATATTTATTGGAAAAAATTCTAATTTTAAAAACAAACTATTTTTACCAAAAATAAAATAAAAGTAGATTCACCATAAGACTGAACTATTTTCATTTCTTTTTTTTTACCATAATTTCTATTTAAAAAGTTACCTTTGTTTTTATTTTATTTTACCAAAAGTTTCTGATAGTTAAATGTCTAATTGATTGTTCGGCAGTTGCGTCATTTATGACTAATGGATTATTAAATAGCTTTCTCCTCTAATAATAATCATTCAACACAATTAGACCGGAATAAACACCATTAATAAGTCAGTTGTTTCATCAACGTATATAATTTATCATACTCATCCGCAATGATAACACAGTGAGCATGCGCAGTCAATAGCAATCGTTGAATTTAGAATACTAGATCATGAGCGACAATTTTGATTTAATTTAACTCATAACGTGTACAAAACTTTTACATCATTACATTCCTTTCATTTACATCAGTAAAAACAGTTTTGTTAACCTTTGGAAGGAAAATTATACAATATCAAAAGCTTAGTTCAATAAAATTCTATGAAAATAATCCATGAATATATAGTACCTAAGAATATTTAAAGGATTAAGAAACTACGCCTGATAAGAGTAAAATAGGCTTATTGGAAGGCTTATTGTATTGTTTAAAATATATTAAAATGTTTAAATATTACGAATTTCTCAATGCATTAAAAGAAAACATTAAATTAACAAATAAAAAAAATTAGGCATGAAACATTTTAAAGTTTAAGTATTTTAAAAATTGCATTACCTATCATTATCTTATTTCATTTATTAAATCATGGCAGAAAATTACAAAACATTTAAACTGAAAAGGAATTTATAATAAACGATTACCATTATGTTTTGTTGTTAAAAATTTAGAATATGTCGTTCAACTTTGGCATCATTGAGAGCAATGTGAATTGTGAAAATTACACGTTTGAGTATTATTGAGAAATTTTAGAAAAACGAATTTCAAATTAAAAATATTTGACCCATGATTTATCTCAATCATTTGTAAAAAATAGTAACATGTTAAAGAAAAAAAAAAGTAAAAAAATTATAGATGGTTTGAAAAGAAAAAGTAGAGTCTAATGACTTTCAGGTGAAACAACCCTACTCAATGATTACTTTTTAAAAACACTAAAAAGAGAAAAATAATGAAAAAATATAGAAATTTCTATTTAACAAAAATATGACTTAAAAAGTTTCACCAGTTTAAAGATTTAGTTTAGGTCAGATTTCAATAAAGTTTAAACCAAAATAAACAAATTACTCAAAACAAGAAAAATATTTTGAAATTACTCTGTAAGCCGATGATGTATGGTATTTACAATTGAAAGATTATTTTCTACAAATTGAAAGATAATTTATAAATTAAAGCAAACTATCTTTATTCTTTGAAGAAAAATTTAATTAATGCTCTATTTACCTTTTTAGAAAGCATAAGTTTATTAGAGAAATATAAAGATAGTTTAAATGCAGTAAACAACTACAAAAAGAATAGACAAAAACCATGTGTATACATAAACATAGTAAAAAGAAAAAACTATATATATAATGCAAAGCATAAGGCAATTCTAAAATTAATTAAGACAACTTCAAATAGCAATATTAACGTAAATTATTTTCTTCGTTCCTGTTAAATGAAGAAAATATAGCTCTTTCGAAAATAAAAATTCCACAATTTTAAAACCTTTTTATATCATTCGTGAACCATGGTTTTTAATTTTGTTACTACAATAAATGAAATGACATGCAAAACAAAGTATTTTATACTTTTGAAAAACTTCATAAACTCATTACATAAGAATACAATGATGCAAAACAAATTTTTAATCATTTAAAAAAAATGAAATCATCTATAAATTTAACTTACCAACAATGTAGTCATACTCTCGATTAAAAGTATCTGACGTGTACGGCTTGTACGCTGTCATCAAAGTATTAATTGCTAAAAACACTTGGAATGGTATATTAAAGAAACTCATTTTTAATGACTCGTTCTCCCTACACAAAGTAAAATGATAACTTAGCAGAAAAAAGGCGAACTTAAGAGATGGTCTGTTTTTCAACGATCTGACGATAGAGAATTTGCAAGGAAAACTTAGAATGAATGTTGAAATTTTGAACCTCGCGCACTTTTATACGATTGAAAAGAGTAGAAGGTGTGGGTAGGGACGGTACTTATCAATGTATTTATTTTGTTCTTCCTCGTACCACAGTTGGGCATGGCTAACTGGATAGCCAATAAAAAAAGGGATGATCTTCCCCCAAAGAAGGGGAGATAAAGATGAAGTGTGCGTGAGATCCCTGTCGAAAAGTTTGACCATACACCTGTGCCCTTGCGCAGGAAGGTCACACGTACTATAGTTTGATAAGAATAATAATTTTAAGGAGTTATGTTACTATATGGAATGCATATGGTACTTAGGAATAGATTAGACTGATATTACTAAAATTGAATTAGTCACAGTATCAGTAATTGCTGGGAAAAATCATAAGAAAGAAATGTAAGTAAAGAGGGGCACATTTGAACAAATTATTAAAAAATTCGAGATTTTATCATCGTGAATTTATATAGTGTTAAGTAAAGTGCATCGAAAATACTAATGAATATCGTATACAAAAATCAAAGAAAAAAAAAGAAATTTTAAAATTTCTGAACAAATAAAAAAGTTATAGATTTCCAAAATGTTGACATTTTTGATCAAAAGTGCTGCATGGCTGGGTACGGTTAAACAAAATTGGGGCACCTGCGAAATTTTTTTGAAAAATCCATATTTTTCTCATTTGAAATTTAAATAGGGTAAATTAAACAGTGTAAATTAATGGTGCAAAATAAATACTTATAGCAATTACAGTACCTAAAATTAAAGTTGAAAATTCTCTGAAAAAAAATTAAAGACTTATACAAAAAGCGCAAAGGTACACTATGGTGGGTCCATGCATGTCTTATGTTCTTCTCTGCTTAAGTACTGCTTCCATTTCCTTCGTACTTCTCGATGTTCATCACATACCATGAGAACAATAGAATTGTTCCATAAAGAATAATTCTATTCTGGGTAAGTAGTTTCATGAAATATGTATAGCAATTAAAATGCTAAAGCTTTTAGTTCATTAAAAAGGAAAACAGTAAGGGTAAAGTAATTTTAGTCATAAGATTATAACTTTATTCAAGATTTTATATTCAGATTTAGAAGAACAATGATATGCTCATATCTGCATCTATAAACAAAATGTCACGGATTAAATTTAAAATGTTCTAAAATGCTTCCAGTTTGAAATTACTCATCTTCCCAATTCATATTAAAGCTAACAAATTAAAGTCAAAATGATTAATTTAAAAAATATACAACTTTATATAAAGCCTGAGATTTAACTTTTGAGAAAATGCTTTTTCATATTATGATATTTTGCTCAAACTATAATTTTCTTTTTAAGTATATTTATCGTGTCTTAATATTTTTCATCTTATATTTTAATTTCTTTTAAAGTTTAATTTATTTGAAATAATTGATAGACTTAAATCTTCAAAGAAATGAGTCAGTAAACTGTTAATGGCGTCGGGGTTTTATTATTTTTTTATGATTACACAAATATTAATTATTTTGGACAAAAATGGAAATGAAAAAAAGGGTTTTAAAACTTACATATTGAAATTCCGAAAAAGCACAACATTTCTATATTTTTTGAAGCTGATATTTCTAATTCACTAAAATATTACTAAGATTTCTAATGATCTTATCTAGTTTAGTCAGAGAAATTGAATTCGTTATAATTGATTGCAAAAGCAACTACTTTTCGAAATAAATTCATTTTTCCATTATTTAATGGTTCTGTATTCATTGAATTCTGAATTGAGATCATTAATTAAAAGAATTGCGTCGCATCTTAAGCTAATTAATACGCAGAAATTTTTTATTACTTCCTTAGTTATACACAAAAAAAGCAATTTTTATCTTTTAACAATTGAAATAAATTCAGTGATCTTGGAATCAAAAGTTCAAAACCGAAAACGCTGCTTCATTATTCATATTATTATCTGTATTCTTAATCTAATTTTTTTTCATCTAATCTATGCAATTAATGATTCCAATTATTTTTTGAAAAAAGTATAAAAAAAACTTATATAAAAAATATGTTCATTATGAATCTATGTCCTTTCATGCAGATGGATGGTTTCAAAAACTTCGATATTTCGAGAAGTATTTATAAAGAACAGATTTTATAAAAATTAAAATTTATAATTTTAATCTTTTTTAAACAATTAAAGTAAGTGCTTATAAATAAAAGTTATTATTTGGTAACTTTTTTTTCAAAAACTAAAAAAAAAATTATGCTATAATAAGTATTAAAACGATAATTAATGATGTAATAATTATAACAATCTAATCATTATAATAATGTAACAATTAATAATAATGAAAGTTATGTAATTCGACTCGTTAAAAACGATAAGCATTCAAATAAAGTTAGGCACTAAGTCCTTTTAACTAGTTTACTCTTTCCTTATACTGTCAGCCTTATATATATTTATAGTTGTGTTGTCGAAAAAAAAATTTATTATTGAATATTATAAGTTATGTATAAAATAAAGCAATTTAGCACATCTTAAAATATCGTTAACTAATATCCACAGCTAATATACACTCTTTAAAGCTAATACGATTCCTTGTTAATAACTTAATTAATCTGTCTAAATTTTCAAACTTCACAAAAACCCAACAATTTTTTTCGTGACCTATAAGCAAAGTCAATTTGAAGTTTTTTATTAGAGTTAGCAGGCAATTCAGGAAAAGATAGTTTTATATTATATTTTAAGTTAAAGTTGGTTACTCTTTTTTTTTTTTTTTTTAATATATGCTTTTTAATTTTAGTTTCCTTTTTTTGTGGAGACGGGGTTGACTTACCGTCTCTTTCTTTGTATGCAAATGTTAAATTATTAAAAAAAATCACTATTTACTATTTAGTTTTTTTCTCTTTGTCAATGATTATATCAAACTTAGACAGCACTAATTTGAGAACATTCCTGTATCATAAAAAAATACCCTTTAGAGAAAAGAAACTAAAACATTTACAGATGATTAACTTGTTATCTGAAAAATACGATTAGTGGAATGATTTTACAACTATTAATATTATTATTATGAAGAACGGACGGTATGGGTGTCAGGGGACTGGCATTGCATCTGAAAGGCTCTGAGTTCAAATCCTGGACAAGGCATGGCTGTACTTTCATTCGCTGTACTATCTGTCCTTACTGTGGGAACAGCTTTGGCCCACTTAATGCGGTGCCCCTAAAGGAGTAGTCATCAAATCTGCTCTACCTGAATTGACGACTGTTAACCCAGACAAGCATTGAAAAAATTAAAATCATTGTTATTATTTTCCTGATCTGTTCACCCATTGGTTAAAAAAACCCGAAGTTTTAATTAAGTTTCAATTACGTCCTTTAGTTTAAATTAATTTAAAAAATCGCTCTTATGAGAAACACAATCAAAAACTAAGTTCTTATAAATATATGAAGGGAAGAAAAAACTCAAACTATGTCAAAGCGTTTCTTCGAGAAAAGAACGTGTGAACATTCTTTTTATAATTTAGGTTAGATAATAAATTGCTTTTACTTTTTTTCCCTCACAATTATGCACCTATCTTTATTTCCCCAGTTTTATTATTTTTCATTTCCCCCATTAAACTTATTTTTTGCTAAAAATAAATCCTCATCTGGAGGTCAGTGTACCATGTTGGAAGTACTAATATAGGAGTACGATATTAATCATAGAATATAGTATCCATAGCAAAAATTTTACCTTGGTCACAATTGGGCCCAAAATTGGATTAATATGAGTCCTATATGAACATGAACCAATATTGGGATGTCTAGATTTTTTAATATTGATCCTAGAATGGATTTTAATATCGAGCAATAATAATTCTATATAGAACCGACATTGGTTGAAAAGTGACTGCAAAATATCGGGCGGAAATTGACAATTCTACATAGGGACTATATTGGATGAATAACGACTGTAAAATACTGGTTGAATCGAGCAATTTTATACAAAGCCGACACAGGTTGAATATCGTCTATAAAATATAGGTTGTAACTGTCAATTTCATATTGGGTCTATGTTGGCTGAGTAACAGCTATAAAATATCGCGTAAATAGAACAATTCTATGTAGGACCTACATTGGCTGAGTAAAAGGTTTCAAAATATCGAGTCAATTAGACAATTTTAAATAAGGTTCATATTGTCTGAATAATGGTTTTAAAATATCAGATGTATTGAACAATTTCATGTATGGTCTATATTGGTTGAGTAACGGCTATAAAATATCGGGTTTAATCAATTTCAAATAGGGTCTATATTAACTGAATAACGATTTTTAAAAATTGGGTGAATCGTACAATTCTATATGTGGCATATATTATTTGAGTAACGGCTATGAAAACGGGTCAATTGGACAATTTTAAATAGGGTCTATATGGACTGAATAACGGCTTTAAAATATCGGGGGAATCGTATAATTTTATGTAGGGTTTATATTGACCGAATAATGGCTATAAAATATCGGTTGAGTCGGAAGCTACTATATCGATCCAACATAGGCTGAATAACGACAATGAAACTTCAGTTTAGTCGGACACTTCTATATTGAACCGACATAGGCTGAATAACGGCTATAAAATATCGGGAGAACTTAGCAAATCTGTATAGGCTGATATTGGCTAAATAAGTGCAATAAAATGTATGGTAAATTGGACAATTTTGTATATAGTAAACAATGGCTGAATAGTGGCTATAAAATATCAGGTGAATCAGATATTTCCCTATCATTCCAATATTGGCAAAGTTATGGCCCTTTAAACACTTGTTGAGTCAAGATTGGTGAATAGTGGCTCAACGAGTTCCCCAGTTATTGAGCTGCTATGGATAGTAGGTTAATCTAAAATACTATACAGGGCCACTATCGGAAAATATTGGCCCTTTTTACCCTTATTGAGTCAAGCATAATGAATATTGGTGCAATGAGGGCCAATTTAGCTGCTCGGGATATTAGTGATATGCAATTTCATTAATCATGATATAAGTACACGATATACCGTTTTAAGTACGTGAAATAAATCCAAATACGATCATAAAAAATAGTTTTGAA